ACTTGCAATATTATTCAGTAATTAAGTGTCAGTGTTTTTATTTGTCTTATTGTTTTAAAACAACATAAAAGTAAAAGAAAAAATGATTGGAAAAAGTTTGATTGGGATTGTGGGGGGGGGAATGCGGACGCGGCGGGGGGGGGGGGGGGGGGGGGGGGCGGCGGTCATCCAGACCCTGAGATAAGGGAGATCCGGTGTAAAATTTTTTTTTTTGGTGGTCTAAAAATAAGGGGGAAGGGGCCAGGCCCGCCGTGCCCCTCCCCTGGATCCGCCACTGATATTGATAGTAAGGCTATGTTCACACCGCTATACCCGCGGCAAGGAAAGCTATCCAATATGTATAGTACGAACAGCAACGGCACTGAACTGGAACAAGTTGTTCACACACATCGAACATCGTACCAGAGCAGGTGGCTGAGAAGGTTTGGCTCTCTACATCCTAATCCTGACTCCTGAATATTTACTTCCGTCTCAGTGGACTCCAGTTCTCTTTCCTACTTATTCACTTCCGCTACGGTCCGAATACCTGGTCACACCACATCAAATTGTGGCACTGAAGCTATCCGATATGTGACGCTCCAATTTTCGAGATCGGCGCGCGGCGGCAGCTTGGCTTTGTTACAGTAATCGCACCGAAATCACCGTCCTTACGTGTGAACAGAGGCCCTATCAGGCATGCGCCGGAGGAATAGCTAGCTATCAGGTATAGTGTAAATATAGCCTAAGTAAAGTGTCGTTTTGTCTACAGTGGTAAATACTTCCTCATTGTTTCAACTACAAAAAATAGCGTGGCATTTGCAGGAACAGAACGCATCAGACAAGGTGTGAACCCTCTGTAGAATCTTTTCCAGCCACCTTCGTTATGGTAAAGTTGCTTTATACAGTCTCGTATACTCTTGTATCGTCTCTTTTCCACAACGGAGTCGTCAGCTTGCATAGATGACTTGACAACATCCGTGGGATATGTTAGGAACCAATATAGGAATCCCCCTGTTCCCCCTGCTGCTAGCAATGCCATGGGAGACACATCAAACACTGTTCCTCCCTCGGGTATCGCCATAGTACGGTTTAGTTCATAGAAGCCTGTAGGAAGAAACAATATAACTTACAAACTGGCTCTTTAAGTGCTTGACATGATGATGAGGCGATGACGAGAACGGAAAAAAAGCAAAAGGGTTTAGGCTACCTTCACACGGCATGGCAACGGACGAGCCCACGTTAAAATCACATACAAATCACATACAACAGTAGGTAAATTTATCACTCGAACCATTGTGAAGAGTGTTTGACTAAAACATCAACACGGGATTTTCTAAAGGTATTCACAAAGGGATTTTAGGGATAGGTCATTTACAAGAATGGGTCTCTTGCTTAGGAATCAGTGAACAGCGTTTCAAACTCAAAATTAAAAAGAGGCTGTCTGGACCTGTTTGATTGTACCATGCAACTCACCAAAGAAAGCAGAATTTGCTGGGATATTCCTAAGCCATGTAGCAGGCAGGCCTTGATAAGCTCCACGAATTCCATGAGTCTTAACTATAACGTATGCAGCATGAAAGACGTTCCTGTACATGACCGGCTCCCCCGACTTTGCTCGGATAATTTGAATCTGCATTTTTGACTTAAACTGTGGAAAAACAAAGCGCACAACGTTTTTAACAAGTGAGCTTTTGAAAGACATTGCTCGCTTGACTGATGATAGTTTGTTCATGAAACTGGTTTGTGGCTGGTTCCGTAAGTGGGAAAGGTGATGGCCTGTGAGCAAGCTCTTTGGGGGACTCTATGAGTGGTGGAAAGAAAAAAGAGGACGGAATTCTGCTTGGTAAGCTGCTACCAAGGGGCCTCTTTTGTCTGCTCAAAGGGGGAGAGTTGGGGAAAAAAAACGGAGCTGGGAATCCTGCATGGTAAGTTGCTACCCAAGTGGTCTCTCTTGGCTGCTAAGGATTAGCCACTTTGTCTCATTGGATAAGATTTTTTTTTGGCCATAAAGTAAATCCTTTCCTGACCAAGCTTGCTCAGTCAGGATGACTGGATATTGGTTAAAATACTGTATTTTAATCGTGGTCTTATCAAACAAAAGGTGTTAAAACCTAAATTGGAATTTCAGGAGGGCAGTAGTTAAATGTAGTTTTTTATGTTAGAGGGTGGGATTTGTTGTTTTATTATTTATACCAATTTATTGAAAGCAAACTCTGTTTGCCAGAATCAAGTCCAAATAGCTCTTAAAGGGTTGACAACATACGCTGGAAGGATTGGGCGAAGGGGAATGAAGTCCTTTGATACCAACTGTCCAGTGATTGCACAGCCTGGAGATACCAGAAACGTGGGACTGACTTATCAATTTATGAAAAAAGGTTTCCCGTTCCCAGGCTTGAAGATGCTTGGTGTTAGGCACTTTGAGTTCACCAAGTCAACTACAACCCGTACAGTGACGTACGTACAGAGCGGTCAACCAGATTCATCTCAGTCATTTGTTCACTAGCCTAGGCGGCCCAGATTCTATATGGGAGTTTGCTGGAATTTGAATTTTATTAGAGAATGTATGAAAAGAAACAAAATATGATCACAATTTTTGAAGAACATCTGCAATAAAAAATGACCCAACTTGTGTTTTTATCATGTGTTTTACTGCCTGTTTGCTTCTTGAGCCATTTGGAAGCCATTAACTCAATAAAACGGCTTCCAAATGGCTCTAGAAGGAAACAGACAGTAAAACATGTAATACAAACACAAGTTGAGTCACTTTCATTGCAAATTTCTCAAAAAAATGGAATTAAGAACACATTTTGTTTCTTTTCATATAAAATTCAAATTCCATTGAACTTCCACATAGAGTACGGGCTACCTGTGCAATGTGGCTTATTAAAATCAGGCTAGTCCAAATAGAATAGCCTGTTTACAGATCCCCTAGTTTCTCTTTAAAGTCCACGGAGTGCACATGATAAAAAATAAAAGTGCAAGGTGGCAGGGTGGGGAAAGAACGAAAAGAAAAATAAAACAACGTCTGTGTACAGGCTAGAATAGAAGAATAATAAGATTTAGACATCATGGGTTTGTATTCTTGGCTCATACTTGAAAATCAGAAGTACACCATGGTGAGGGATTTCCCCAGGCTACAATGAGCATTATCCCTTGCTACAGAGGAAGCAAAATGAAAATTGAACCAAAGGAATCTTGGCCAGCTGTTCAATTCCCCACAACTTGAAATTTTATTGGCTCCGTTTAATGTCAAAAAACCTCATGGCACCCAGGGTTAAGTCAATTTTAAACCCAACTTGACTGTTCAAAGAAAAGGTAAAGGCTGGTTTTCACTAGTGACGGAGTCCGAGTCATAATCAGAAGTGTAGAGCTTATGATCTAGTGAAAACCAGATTGTCGGAGTCAGAAGCAGAAGCAGAAGAACTAAACCAATCGCAAAGCGTGGGAACGTGCATTATGACTGGTTTATCCTTCCACTTCTGCTTCTGACTCCGACAATCTGGTTTTTGCTAGATCATAAGCAGAACATAAGTGTCGGAGTCGTAAGCGGAGTCAGAAGAAATGGAAACGTTCTGATTCTTCTGACTCCAATTCTGGCGCACTTATGACTGCTTATAACTCCAATTTTTTATTTTCACTAGGTCATAAGCGCTCTTACAACTCTGACTACGTCTCCATCACTAGTGAAAACCAGCCTTAATGAAATAAAACCTGATTATGACAAGACAGAATTTTAAAATTCATGGGTTTTGGTGAAAGTTATAATTAAAAGCAGTGGCACGAAGGAAAAGCAATTTAATAATAATATTATCTTACCAAATCAATTGGACCTTCAACCAATGCAGCAACAGCACCTGTAAACATACCACAAAGGAAGTACTCTGGAGAAGAAAGTCGCTGGCCTTGCCGATCCTTTCCAGCAAAAAATGTAGTAATCTGTATGACAAATGAAAAATTACCAGTTTTAGTTCTGTCCATAATATGAGTGCATTTTTGGTTGGGAAGAGGCATTACTGGCATTCTGTGTCAAAGTATTATAAAGATAAATTAAACACTTCTAATAATACAGAACCATGATTTGAGTCAATTACTGGGCTATCTTGTGCAGAGTTTGGCAGTAAAAGTGGCGATCATAATCTGTCAAAACAAAAACAACAACAAAACAAACAAAACCCACACAAATATTTCTATTGAGCCAGTTAATCATTGCATGCTGACTGCTAAAGAATGCATGGTTAATTTGTTTGAATCATGATACATACCATGTTCAAAAATTGTCTGAGAAAAAAAAAAATTATCAAAATAAAAAATGTTAATTTTTAAATAATCAGGATGAATTCCACAGCACTACCAAGGTGCAACTAGATATGGAAAAAGATTTGCTGGTAACTGATGTTAAGGGTGGGGTAGGAGGAGAGATACTTAGTCCAAATTAAGAAGAGGGCTGCTGTCCAGGTGAATAACCCTCTAACCAGTAAGTTCTATATATTACTTTTAATTCCTAAAAACAATCTAGTACATTTGTGTCAGTGAGTCGCAGGCCTAATAGGTTTTGCATTGACTTTAAGCTATAGTCTTTTTGTGCTCTAGATATAACTTAAAACAAGCAGCAACAACTCACTAACCTGATAATAGGATGTAAAAAGAGTTGCTCTAAAAAACATCTGACCAACAATAGGTGAACCTGCAGTGATTAAAAAGACTGTTCATAAGAAACAGGCCAGTATTCTCAATGGTTTCCACTGTTTTTTTTCTCAATAAATTTCTCATATACAACAAAAAATTACTATTTTAGGCTAAATGGTGAGCACTAAAATTCCCAAACAAACCCTTATAAACTTGCATGCATCAAGGGTTCTCATTGACGTGCTCATGGGACCCAAATTGAGTCCCTGATCTAAAATGTCAAAACCAGGGCCAGGGGTATGGCCTGAATGTTTGAATACAGTCAAACCGCCCATAAGCAACCACCAAAAATGCGAAGATTTAGTGGCTGCTAATACGGGAGGTGGTGTCTTAGGAGAATCAAACCACAGGGGGTCCCTTCTTAGAAGAGGTGAGAACACATCAGATTCTTCATTTTGGAGGAGAATTCATAGCTTTCCTGACTGTCATAATGTTCAACTATGGGATGTTTTATACATACATTTTTTCTTTTACCATATTAAGAGTTACATGGTGATATTGATTAGCAATGCAATGTTTCTTTCAAAATTAATAGCATGCTTTGGATAATTGTAGACTGAGCTTAGCATAGGGAATTTTTCCCCAAAGGACCTTTCAATTTATGCTTATCCAGAGTTGGCATTGTTTCTAAAATGGGTTCTGGACCTCAGAATTTCTTATTGTGGCTTACAATCATCAAATGATCGTGTTTTATTTTCTCCTGCCCCACCTTATAAGTAAGTAAAGATCAGTGAGTCAGCCTGGTTAGTAGGGCTGGCCCACATTACTTGGCTGGCTCAGCTCATGTCTTATCTCCTTATAAAATTTTGTTGTGTTTATATGAGAAGACGACTAGCCTGCTTGCCAATATAAGTTTGAGCAACTGAGATCTTGGCAAGTAGGGTGCTCCCCAGTGTAAACACACAGAAAAAATTATGAGGAATTAAGGCAAGAGCCAAGCCGGCCTGGATATAACTAAGCTACAATAGGGAACAGTAAATTTTAACAAAAATTATTAACATGCAGTATGAATAGCAGGCACCAGTTTGAGGATGCACATGCTATAAGGACTATTTGTGGTACTGTATCTATTATATTAATCTTTCTTTCATATTTTCATGTTTTAGTCTAAGTAGGAGGGGGGAGGGTTCTGTGGGGCACAGGGTTCAGTGTTTCAGGGTTACCTAGGATGTTGTTTTTGCTAGCTGGCAGGCTCTGGTATATAATTTATTATTCTATAAATGTATATATAGAGAAAAAGCAATGGCAGAAATACTTGTAATACTCACTAGTATCATGCTAAAACAGCCAGAAATGGTAAAAATAATACCATGAATAAGACAAGGAGAAAGTTTTTGATGTACTTTTACTTCAATTTTGGTGCGCTAAATAACGATTACTAAAATCCTACTACAAACCCTATAACTTACAATATTTCTATTATATAGCAGCAATTCTCACATTCACATTAAAAAATAAAAAAAACAAGAAATAGGAAGGGACAAGCATTACAATGGAAAAATGTAGTGAGAGATGGTGGCTTTAAATTTTGCAGTTAAATCTATTGTTAAATCGTCAGATGGCAGGCTATTCCAGTCAGTGATAGTTCTTGGCCAGAAGCTGTATTTCTACATGTCATAGGATGGCTCAAGCAGAAATAATTTCAGTGGATGAGATGCCCTGGTTTAAGGGAGGACTGATGTTGCGCATAGCAGGGGATATCAATAGCGGCCTGGTTGGAAAAACATCTGTACATCAATGTCAGTCTAGCTGTACTTGACTTCATTTTTCGAGAGTTGGCCAATTTAGTTGCTTTAGGGCATTAGTTACGCATTCCTCCTCTTTCACTTACGTTCTTGTTATGAAACGTACTGCCCTGCCCTGGACCTGTTCTAGCCAAGATATCTGATATGCACTACACAGATCCCATACAGTACGCCCATATGAATTCCAACATTGGTCTCACCAGTGATTTTGTAGGCTTGATCTTTAACCTTCTATGGGCAATGATATAAGTTCCTCTTGACAAAGTGCCAAATAAGTTTTATTTCTAATGTTCCGAATATGTGTCCTCCAGTTCAAATCATAATAGATTTGATAGATTAACTCCAAGATATTTTTGGTGTTCCACAGACTGTGACAGGGTTTAGCCAAGCATAGTGTAGGGATCAAAGGATTCTTGGCTCTGCAAACTTGTAGAACATAGCATTTCAACAGGTTGAAGACAATTTGCCACGTTTCCCATTCAACTAATTTGAGACTGATTGCATTGTTGAAATTGTGCACCTGACCATTCAGCAGGGTGCTGCCAGTGAATAACTTAATATTTGAGGTAATATCATTACCAATGTTGTATCACTTGTGAGCTTTGGGTGTGTCGAATAGACTCTTAAGACTCTAGTCATGTGAACAGTCATCCCTTTGTTTGCTAATAAGCTTGTTATCGTTCGTGGTCAGCCGTCTTGTCAGTTAGGATAAGTCCTGGAAAGAAAGCGCATGGTTTTGCTCTTTACTTAATTAGCTTTTCTCTTCGACTGCCATTGTTTTATGCATTCATTGTTCAATGCAATTATCTGTGGTTCAAAGCAAGACAGTTGATTCAAGTTATCTCCACCTACTGTCTTTGATTATCACTCGTGTCTCTGTGACAGGGCACTTGTGATTATATCAGCCAAAAGGATGAAAAGCGGCACACCACAAGGCTTGATGATACTGCAATGCTGCACATTAACATCAAAATTACCAAAATACTACTTGAAAAAATTAAGCTCACTACTGCACAGCAATACTGTAAAGCCCAATGTACCCCTCATTTATAAATTTATCCAGTGGATAATGTCTTCTTCTTTTGAACAACTGGGGCCAGAAGTAGAATGTGGTTGAGTTTTTCACCTGGAGTCCTTTAAACAGTGACCTAAAATATTATTGATTGATCCTTTCATAATAATGCACTTATCAATTGAAACCCCGACCCCCCCCGCCCCCCCACCCCGGGCCTATGTGGGGGATTTTTATGGTATTTGAAGTCATGGTTAGCCCGTGGGAGTGGGGGATTTCTCAGGATTTGCTAAGCATATTCATATGGCAGTCGGGGAGCGAGAGGTGGGAATTTGACTCGTGCCTAGTTTCCTCATGGTAATTTCGTCACGCGATCACTGGTATTTTGATGTATTGCTCGGCTGTACATGCTTTGAAGTTATCTGGCTTTGAAAGGTAAGTTTCCTAATTGTTTTTCCTTTCATTTCTTTACTTAGATTAATCCTTTGTGATTTTGCCTTGAGTTTTCATGGTTCGTTGACTGGAAATTGTTATTGTTATTCAAAACTTCTCAAACAATGCAGATACATGCTCCTCTACTTATTATAAAAGGTGCTGTGTCATGGCTATCTGGTTCATTTTGTTAATATTGCCAGTTACATGGTCCCTATTAGCTTTTGACCGTTACGTTGGCAAAGAAATGAAGAAATCAAAGCTTCGTTTCAAACAGATGTTTCTCCCAAGCATATCAAGCGTTACGAACAAAAAAAATGAACTTTGAAAAACTGTTAGGTTAACAAGTTTTCAAAAACCACAATTTCAATCCGTTTCAATCCGTTTAGTCTCAGTTGATAAGTGCATAACAATGGAGCCAGATGATGACTATTTCAAGCTACCAACGTAAAGCCATTACAGATCCACTCGATGATGTGGCCCAATTTCAAGAAGTACCGGTATTCTGTTTCCAAAAGGACCCTTTTAACTGGTAATCGGACCTCCTTTTTTTACCGTTTAAATTAAAATAGCCCAGCCTTCAGACACAGACGTATTTCCGGTTGTCGCTTATAGACATTCACAATAACCCGTTTCGCAGATGTCACGCAATATTTGCAATTAGCAGTGTTTTGCATCTACGCCTAAAAACACCGCTTTAGCTCGATTTATCATGTAGAATTTAATAAAACTGCAAACTTTGAGAATTTGTTGTAAACTAACAGAGATATGGGGCCTGCAATTTGGGGAAAAGGCAGAGAAAAGAAAATGAAATGGGGAAAAGGAAATGTATCGCTTACAGGCAATTACTGACTGCCCGTCACGAGGCCACGCCATGCATTTCCTTGTAAGAATTCGCTTGTTAAGGAGCTCATTTCTCCTTTGGTTTGCGACGAATCCCTGTGAAACTCAGTTTTACCAAGTTCGGTCTGTGGTGGTGGTTTTTTTGATAAATGAAAAATACGTACGAAATTTTCAATTTTGCGTGTCATCTGTGAAACGGGTTATGTTCAGCCAGATCATTTTTATGATCATTAGGAATTGCGTTTATCACTTACCGACACCTTTATATAATCCTCCAATTCCTTCCCATTTCATTGTTTTCACGAAACAATCCAAGAGTCCCTTGTAGACCGGCCGGTCAACAGGTTGCGTTTGAAGACGAACTTTTAGAGTGTCAAACGGATGGCCGACCAAACAAACAGCAATACCACTAAATGTTCCGGAAACTATATTTTTGATTGTCCTTCTGATAAACGAATTTTCGCTGGTAAACGTCGAGACCTCGATATTTTCTTCCAACTCTTTGTTTGAGTCCGCCATGATGAACTACGTAGGTCTGAGCAAGTTACGGGTTTGCCTGTAAAATCCCGCATACAATGATTCCCGAGAAAGTTTATATTGTATCCAGATACTTGGGCATTTTGCTGTGTTGATTCACAAAAAATTATTTAACCCCAAATCAGAGGACGCTTGTCAGTCAAATCTTCATAAACAAATCGAAGAAAGCACTTCATTCCGCTTTACAAGCAAAAAACTTACCACGATCCGGGTTACGACCCGACCCGTTGACCCGCGTCAAATGGAGAAGAAAGGGAGGATGAAAATCCAATCAGAACTTAGCAAGTAACAAAGCGCACCAATCACGGCGCTGCTCACATGGAGACGTAAACCAACGGCGGGAAAAGTCAGTTGTTATTTCCAATATGGTGGACAACACGATTGCAGCACTTTTTTCTTCCTTTGAACAGAAGTTCAACTGTTTAATTTGCTGGGCACCAAGTCTCAGGATGATTTACGGATCTTGTCAGCATCGTTTGTGCGAAAATTGCTTATATGACAACGAGGGAAAGAGAAGATTAGGGCTTGAAAGATGCCCGACATGTCAAAGAGAAAATGTCTTCCCTTCTACGCGACCGGATGTGCCTGAGGACAACATCGAAATACAAGTTCATCTTGGCGTAAGACGGTGCCCTCATAATGGTTGTAAGCTCCAAATGTGGCACTGGGAATTGCAAAACCATTTAGAGTAAGTACAGTAAAGAGTAAAAAGTGATGTTTGAAGGTTTTAACACGCGAACGATTTTAATAAAAGCTGCATGGTTGGAACCTGAAGAGAAGCTACAGCTCCTGAAGTCGATTATTAATTTTAATCGTGGAAAATGTTGTAGAAAACGTTTTAAGAAAGCACGTAGTGATTGCATCGTAAAATAAACATACATAAATGAACGAAAATCAACTCAGTAGCTTCGATTTATAAGCTTGTTTTGTTTTTTACTGTAGATGACTGAGTGACTTAGCACATGGGGTGTTGCGAAAACCCCGTGTACAGTCACAGGTGTCCCAAACTCATGTTACGAGTGTGTTATGTAAATTACTTTCGCACTAGAGAGTTGGTGTCGCGTTACAAACGACCGTTGAGACTTTGTATGAGTAATAAAATACTGAGGTCTGCGAACGCTAAATATCATTATTACTTTTGGAGAAACTGCAGAATACCCTGGATATGTGGATTAGCAGTTATCCCTCTTATGCGCTTTTCTGGCTTCACTAAAACGATGAATTCATCCCACAAACACAGGAATATATCAAAAGTAAGTCTCCTTTATTTATTTTGTAGAAAAACAGTAAAAATAATGATATTTAGCATCCGCACACCTCAGTATTTTATTTTTCATTATTACAAACTCTCAAAGGTCGTTTGTAATGCGACACCGGCTCTCTTGTGACAAAGTAAACTTTACTTTTTTTTGCATTGAAGGATATGCAGATTTGTTACCAAGTCACTAGACAGAACAAAAAAGGTCAAGAGGAAAAGCTTGTATGATTCAGAAGTAAACAAACCCATGACACTGAGAAGTGGAAAAAGACGCTCACTTGAACTTACACATAACAAATCAATGGAAGAGAGGGAGACCATGTACAAATTGCGGCCAAGGAAAAGAAAGACTGTAACAAACTAGAGTTGGTACAAGTGTCCAACACTTGTGTATGAGAATGGAAATTTTTTTACAAAGAGTATCACTATAATTTTATGCCTGATGCCACAGTGCTATGCAAATGAAATACATACATCATTGTCATTACTAGTACCACTCAATATTAGAATGAATCCCTTAGCTACTTTCATGTACACTGTAATAACACTCTATTTTATCTTAGCTCGAATTTCAGAATATATATAATAATATGGCAAGTCCCCAAAATTGTGTCCAGTTAAACTAGTATTGTAAAGGTGCACTGGTCCATGTTGGAAAAGGGAGCACTGAGATTAGTTTGTTGAGCACCAATAAATTTCACATATTTATGCAGAGAATCAATTACCAAACTTCTGGAAGTAGGGCAGGGAAAAGGTTAGAAATATCACAAGTAGAAGGCTTTTAGCACAAGTTTCATTAACTCAGGAAACTTGATTTATGGTCAAAATTAATAATACGGGAAAGAAAAGAAAGAGGATGCCTCCTGGGCTTTCTCTTCTATGATACTGATTCTGATTTTCATTTAAAAAGAAGACAATGAAAGCAGTCAGTAAACAAGCTGCATAATAATACAATGTAATAATCATTTTAAAACCATTAAATGCACCTATCTTGACATCTACAGATTTGCATAGATTGAGTCAGTCCAAGTTGTGTGGTCAACAAATTATGTCTGAAGCAAGACATTTAAAAATATTTTATTTTGTTATTGATAAGTCAAGTGACTTATTGTTATTATTATTATTAAAAGTGAACATGATCTTCGCAGTAGAATGAACAACTTAAGTGGTTGAAAAAGAAGGTTCACTCTCATATCTCATGGTCCTTGAATACTTTTCAAAGCTCCCTGAATAAAAATAACCTTTGTTAAAAAAAAATTGTTTTGCGCATAGGAATGATTGAAAGCACAGCAATACACAAATTTTCTTGTTGTTCATGAAAGTGTTTTCCTATGATTTTGGTGTTCCCGGCATAGTTCATTTTCTGTTATTTGAAGTACCCCAGGTATCATGCCTTAATGAAGGAAGGTATTGCAATAAGCGACCCCCTCTCCATCTGCACACTGTAAAGGTCTTTACTTCATATTACTGGGGAAAAGAAGTCCTTGAAAAAATGATTTTAGTCCTTGAAAAGTCCTTGACTTTTTCCAAAAATATTCTGTATAAACCATGTATCTTTATCTGCAGTTCAAAATATGATTCATTTCATATATTTCAATTCTTACTCTTTATATTACTTCTTAAGGGGCTGGGTAAACAGAGGATATACATTGTAGTATCTTAGTAGTTAACCTCAGTACCCAACTAACAGTGCAGCGTGAACTTATGACTACATCAAGAAAGGAAAAAACCTGGAAGAACCACATGTAACATAACAGAATATACACATGCACAATATAGTGTGATACCTACCATTGTAATTGTCTCTTCAGAATATAGGACTTGGCTCACTTTGCAAAAGAAAATCTACTCAATACATAGATTTTTATGCTTGTTAAGGATGTTTTGGCACATGTCATCATTCTGTTCTAAGTATGTGAGTCAATATTCCGGAAATGTGCAAAAGTTTAAAACTTAAACTCACTTTAACTACATCATCCTCGGAGACCCAGGGGCAGTTAGTCGGGTCGATAAAATGTTCGTGGTGAAAGTTTACTGTAAGATCGAGACGAGCCCCTGGGCACTTACTCTTATGAATTGCCTGCTTCTGATTGGCCAGAAAAAATTTTTTCTGGCCAATCAGAAGCAGGCAATTCAAACGCTTCTGGAACTGGTTCGGTAAGAGTAAGTGCCCAGGGGCTCGTCTTGATCTTACAGTAAACTTTCACCACGAACATTTTATCGACCCTACTAACTGCCCCTGGGTCTCCGAGGATGTAACTACATTGGAAACATGACTTTTCAAGTCGTCAGTTTCTTGAATTTCACTACGGTAACAAGGCAAGTTAAAAACTGTGGTTCTGTTACACTTCTGTAAGTCTAATGCTTGTATAACAGGGTAATAGCAGATCACCCAGTTACATAAAACCCCAGCATTTTCTAGGTTATTTATTGAAAAAGCTACCAAGAGGTTTTCAATAATTTATTTAATTCACTTAACTGCTACACCAACAAAATTACCATTGCAGTTAGAGTTTTCCAAGCAAGCTGCTTTTAATAGTCTCTGGAATCATACTAACATAGAAATCATGATCCTTTAATGATGCTAGCACACCAGTCTTATTAACGTAACTGTCTGCTTGACCATCATATTTGATATGCTCTCCACAAACATCTGTTAAAGTGCCATTCACTGCCTCCAGTAATGCCTCACAAGCACAGGTATCCCAACGTTTACATCCAGCACTAGCGAAAACATATGCATCTGCTTTTCCTTCAAGCAAAAGAAGGACTTTATACCCAGCTCCACCTACTTTCAGTATCTGATCAGGTTTCATTGCTTCTATTGCATCTACCACTGTCTGGTTTAAATGAGAACGTGTTGTGGTGATGATGCGCCGTCCAGTGGGTGGTGGAACATGAGTAAAGCCAAATGTTCCTAAGCCTCTTACACCCCACATTGTTCTTCCTAATTCAGTTCCTTGCATTTCTTTTTCATAGCCATAAAAAGGTTGGTGGATGACTCCTGCTATAGGCTTGCCATTCATTGAAATGCCAATAAGGACTGTTACATGATCATAGAGACCTTTAGTGTTGAATGAAATGTAAAACAAAAAATTAATGTAAACCTTGTGCAGTTGTTATGAAATAACAAATTAATATTGATTATTCTAGTGTATTATTTGTTGATACATAATTATCAATGTGGGACCATAGTTTGCTTATAATATAATATAATACAATACAATACAATACAATACAATACAATACAATACAATACAATACAATATAATATAATTTAATTTACAAAGTACTTTCCAATATATTATCTGCATTTTTTTCCTCCACTAGCTGCTGTTTCTCTTCTGGGGCAACTTTGAAAATCATTGCTTTCTAGCTTGAGGCCTCAGGTTTGTGTTGTTGTGTTCATTAAAGAAAAAGAAAACTGGCAGTGTTTTCCCACCTTCTGTCATGCCACTTTCCACCATGCTTTGATCACCTACTGTAATGTATATCCTGAGCGGGGTACATTGTTTAATGTATCATGATCGGGATACATTTTATTTTAGTCAAGGCCACATGACCAAGAATCAGCCAATGGCTGTCCCAGTTTAGGTGAGTCATGAAAGTCTAGGAATATAACAATATTAGTATACCAGGGACAACCCCACTTAGCCATATCCCTTCCTTACACTTGTACCTACCAGTAATACAGTACAGTATTTGTATTTTAAAGCACAATAAAAAAACTATTACATAGAACACTGCTACAATTTGTAGAAAATGGATGCTAATATTAAGGTCATGTGAATAGGATACTGCTGTACAGCTCAGCACATCTCAACAGGGCAGGCTAATTGTAAATAAATAATATAATTACGTATTATAAAAACAACTGACGATACATGTACACAAAAACTCAGTTGAAAAATACTTTTTTACAACACACAAATTCCAGATAATGTAAAAATGTACTATGCTAATAATAATGTGTTTCACAAATGGATTGCAGATGACACTTTAAAGTAAATCTAAAATTACCTTCAGTAAATTCTCTTGTACCATCTAATGGGTCAACCCAAACAGTTACCTGTCATAGTAAAAAATAAAAATCACAATAATATTTTGGTCTACCTATCAAATTTAATTTTCAATTTACTACACAGCTTTTGGTAATACTATACACAAATTTACTTAGTGAGTAATACAATAAAATGTAAGAATACAGTCTTTAAACTATTTGCCCCTGAACTGCCCATAACCACCCAGGTGCAGGTCCACATCTTTTCTATCGCTTGGGACATCATCATTTTTAAAGGTCGAGGACTAACTTGTGCGGGATAAAGAGATCTTTCAAACCATACCAGAATGAGCATGATTTAGTCAAGGAGACCGGAGAAAAAGGCAAAAAACCATGTAACATTGACCCAAAAATTTCCATGAAAATCTTTTTTCACTACCCACCTTAACCTACCTTCCCTTTCATGTAATCCTAAGATCCTAAAAGCTTTCCCCCAAAATTTTCCCACTTAAATGAAGTCTACTAAATGCCCAGCAAAATAAAAAAAAAGGCAAGAAAAGCAAAAGAAGAGGGGAGGAGAGAAAGTGAAAAGAAAGGCCATGTGACAGCAACTAGTCACGAAAAGAATGCGACAAAAAATATTTGTGAGGTTTTGCATGCTGATCAGATTGAGCTTTGCCAGTTCAAAGAAGGCAAAAGAAATAACCACTGGACATCAACAAGAAAACTAGGAGTCAGTTGTTTACTGTTTAGCCAATTAGGAAAGTCAGTCGTCATTTTGTCTTTTAGAGTTTTAAACACGCCCAGTCAAAATTGCTGTGTCACTTTTAAACCCAAAAACTATCCCGAAATTTTGCTTTCTCTGCGTGCCTGAACTTCGCAAGCTAATATTTTGAATCTGGATCAGAAGGCCGTGAAGTGTATGACCTGTAAACAGCTTTGTGGTATAAGTTTAAGAAAACCGCTAGAAGATTGAGTATGTGTGACGAATGGGTCAGTTGACAGTAAAAGATCTCTGCATTCCTTTAGGCAACAGATAAAATTAAGCTGGCAGAACACGTATACGTACATATGCAGTATAGGCAGCGATGAGTTGAGGTCATATAGCATAGAATTTGGCATAAATTGAAAGAAGAAAACTTACATCTTCAGGCTTCACTGATACTAGATCTTCTGGACAAAGTTTCGAAAGAACATCAACATCTTGTGATGCTTCAATGAATTCATCTTTTACATTACCAAGATGAACATCCTACATTTAAACAAGTTTAAATAAGAAAATTGCACATGATTACTCCACTCAACACATTGAATAGTTTATGTTATTACTGCCTTTAGCCTAAATTTCAGCTTTCTCCTTGAGTGGCAGATTCCTGAAAAAAACATCTTCCCTATCTGTAGGTTGCAAATTGAGAAAATGGCTAAAATTCAGGCTATGCCCACTCAAATGGTTTGTCAATCGCTGAGGTAGTCTAAACCAATAATACCAGCCTCAAAAATTTTTGTACACTTACAGTGCAATAGATTTTTGGAGATTGTGTCAATTTTGAAGTTATCCATATGTTTCTTTTATTAAAAATAAAATAACATGAAAATAATAAATAAATAACATGTTAAACTACAAAATAAAGGAAATAATTTTTCAGGGTGTTACCATTTTTAATAGTGCCATCTACATTCTAAAATACCTTTCTCACACTATATGATTTTCTCTCTGGAAACCCTGCATGTATATCATGAACTCCTCAAAGTGATCAGTCCCCAGCTGGCTTGACAGCCTAGTGGTAAGAGCACTGCACTGGTATTGCAGAGGTCATTTTTTTGATCATGGATTCAAATCCCATTCCAAGCCTGAATTAATTTTTTTCAGGGTTTTTCTTTTTGCATCTGCTTAAGTTGTGTAAATAGATGTGATGGTCTTTCTCTTATGAGAATTTTTCTAGCTCCCTTATTCAGTTATGCAAAAACCTGCCTGCCAGATGGTTGCTTATGACGGCTAGCCTAGGTTAGTTACAACTCATAAGGGAATCTACATGTAACATAAATAACAGATTATTATATGTTTTACTCACCTCCTCCTCACCAATAATTTGTAGGGTTGGATATGTTTTCAGGAGCGAGCCAATGATACATTTCTGAGATGCACGGTCAGCTTCTGTTTGGGGATCAAACTGACCACTTTCCCCCTGATGAAAAAGATACTTTGTTCAAAAGATTGATTTGTTCATTCTACAAGAAAGTAATTTACTGTCCTTTATTGCCTTCATGAAAATAAAGACAATACATACCACAGATAACTTGTTATATGCACCAGTCACAATTAACATGACTGGCAAAACAACCAAAAAAAGAAGCAACACTCTGGAAAGAGATAATAAAATGGTGACAGTCCCTATCATACCCATCTACTGGGTTTTCTTGACCAAGGGTAAAATAATACACTTCAATTTCACATAAGGCAGCTGGCTGCACAATGCTCCTCAGTTGTATGTCCAGGTAAAAGGACAGAAAAGGAAGAACAAGATAAAAAGGGGCAAGGAAAGTACCTCGCCTCTGCAGCACTCCAAGCTGTCACCATTGTGGTCCCCATGTTGAGTAGTACACCAAGGGGGGGAGGTTACTCCGAATCTCAAGTGATGGGGATGATCAAAGGATTCTTTTGGATTTAAAAGTTTTGATTCTGGAATTTTTTTCGGTAGGAAAATTTGGCGAGTATTTTCTTGGGTGGATTGATTTAAGTAGGGATTTTTGGGGTATTCAAAACAATCTGAAGATTCGTGGCGGCAGCGTAGTTCTCCAAAAAAAAATTCCTCCAAACTTGGCCTCAGAACTTTGGAATGGGATTTTTTGGGGGTTAATATTTGATCCAGGGAATTTTTTGGGTTTTGACTTTTGCCCCCCATTTGATCATCCCTGTCACTTGAAATCCGGAGTAGCCCCCCCCCACCCCTCCCTCCCCACTGGGGTATCTTTTTCACTTTCTATGGCAGAATGCACCAGAAATACAGCCATTCCCCGAAATGCTATCTTTGTTTTATAGGTGCATGAGGCAAATGCACCTCTCGCAATTGAACACCCTCCAGATTAATTATAAGCGACCACCTATCCAAAATAACATAATCAACCATTGCAAGCCCTGTAGTTGAAACTTCATCTCCCTTTTTTGCAAAGAGTGATAATAATCTTTTTGAAACAAAGAAAAACCAAGGATTTTAAAAGTTGAACCACAACCTGTCCATGATTCGACAAAGCAGATCTTTTTAAAAACCCACTAAACCAAATTTTCAAAAGCGAATACAATTTTCACTTCTAATTCATCACTGTTTATTATATATCCACCAAGAAAAAGAAAAGAAATTTAAACGAGATCGTAGATTAGATATTTTGAGCTGAGTGCTACTTTTTAAAGGCACACTGTATAATTCCTCACTCCTTACTACGGGGCTTGTGAGACCCAATCACGCCTTCGGAAGACCTACTAAAACCTCCAATCGACTGTTTAAGAAAATAGCGCAACCAAATAACAAACCTTATCCACCACTCCGAGACTGCCTGTTTTAAGGATGCTTCTAATAATCCCGCCGGCTCTATTGGCCACAGAAACTGATGAGGATACGAGTCGCATCAAGAAGGTAGGAGACGACGCCATGTTTTTGCCGTCTGCTCTTAGCCTGCGTAGCATGGCGGTTTTGGTTGGGCGCGCTAAGTAATAAAGGCGGGCGAGGGCAGAGAAACGGCGAGGAGATTGGGGCGGGAGCAACTTTTATTTTTCTCGCGGCTTCGCCGCTCGTTCTCGCGCGCTTCGCGCGAATTTCGTCGCTACGCCGCTCGTGCGCCCGGCTTGACAAAACCGCCATGCTACGCAGGCTATCTGCTCTGACCTCAAGTGATTATTCGTGTCACGTGTGGTGAGGGGTGACACCGTCACGCGGTGGTTTCAAACGTCGAGCGGTGGTTTCAAACGTCGAGCTATTGCGGTTCGGCACGGCAGTAGCTCGACGTTTGAAACGGGCCTTATGCATCGCAATCAGTTCTTATAATTCTCGGATTAGAATTGTGCTAAGACAAACAACTACCGACAAGGTAAACATGAAATTGAAGGTAAAAAAGAGTACTTCAAACGTCAACCTGTCAAAAACTGAAGATATCAATTCGAGTGTGAAGTGTTCCCAGGCAAGTACACATACCTTTGACGTGAAAGAAATCGGGCGAACAAGCGACAAAAACCGGCTTGCATCACGGCGACCGAGTGCTAGCAGCTTTCCAATTTTCATCATCATCAGCCTATTCAGATCAGCGGTGCACAATGAGCATTTGTCACGCGATCACCCTTCCCCTCTTCCTTGCGAGCACAGCTGTGATTCGTTGTATCATGGCCGCTGGTACCTCTACTCGATTCATTACAGATACTTTACCTAAAGATCATAACAGAGTTACAGTCCGTCAGAGTTCAAATCGCACCTTAATGCCTTCAGTGGCAAATGGGTACGTCGGAACAGTGATTTACAGCGATGCGGTGCATGTATCAGGAGTATACAACGGCAAGGCTTATCCAAAGAAGAAACCTATTTATCCTGTGTATTTCTACCAACACACTCACCGCGCTCGCATACCTTCTACTGCTTCCATTGACTTCAGCTTGTCTGGTATCCAAGGGAAAACCTCTTACGCACTTGATGTACTTGAGGGAGTGTTTTACAAATGGTTCAGCGCTGACAGCTTAAATGTTGAACAGAGGATATACGCGCATCGATCCCGCAAAAATTTGTTAGTCGTGGAAATAAGTGCGAAGAATAACGCTGCTAAAGAGTTATTAATGAAAGTTTCTTCTAATTTTGGAGATTCTTCTGTGGATGTTGAGTTCAAGACGATCGACTCAAACAGACCTGAGGCTTTGGCGGCCATTGGCATGGTATAAACTTAACACATATTTCCCTCCTACTTGGTCGACTGTGGAGTGTGACGATCGGCTGTCACGCTGAACCTGCTTATCCAGTTTGACGGCTCGTTCGTTGTTTCCCCCTCCTGTGTTTTTAGAAAGTGTCATAGGCAAGCTGGCGTTATTATACCGGTCTAGTTAATAACTCAAATAGGTTTTCATCCGTTCAATATTGCGCCGCATTGCAGTCTTTTTAAGACTTGCGCCGCCCCAACTTTCGCAGTCATGGCAGATTGGCATACCCCTACTCCTTAGAGTACCCACCCGCTTTTTGGCCTAATGCACACACGCACGTGTGTTCGGCATTTATAAGTTGGTGATTTAGACGTTTGTTTTTATATTTCCCTGCCTTCTGGCCAGGTTAACGAAACAGAAGAGGCAGGTAGTATGCGAGCGAACATAGCAACAGTTTGGACTAAACTGCAGAAAACACTGACAGTAAAGGCGACCTCTGAAGAACAGACTTGGTACTTTATCACATCCATAGCAACCAGCCTCGACACCAAGTTCAACCCACTGGCTGAAGCTCTCTACCAATGGGACGCGGCAATGCTGTAAGTTATACTTTCAAGTGTCTCTTCTCTGGCTGTCAATACATTTTAGGGTCTCTTGCCGGGGGGGGGGGGGGGGTAAGGGGGGGGAAAGCCAAAAAAAAATTGATTCAAATTTGCTTTTTTTTTTTTTTCAGGGACAAGGGAAAATTTTTTGAAAAACCAAAGGCAACTTGGAAGGCATTTTGGGGAGCGGGCCGGCAAAGAAGGAGAGGTGGCTTGGAAAGGGACAGATTGGCCGTACGGGTTAAGTCCCGGAGGTCTACCGGGGGGAGAAGAATACATGGGACATACATTCTGGGACCAGGATATTTGGATGTATCCTCCTCTAGTCCTGTTACATCCGGACTTGGCCAGAAGTGCCTTGAAATATCGCAAAGACCGGCTACCGGCTGCGCGCAGAATCGCGAAAGAATACGGATATAAAGGTAACTGAACACAAGATCATTCAAGGAGCATTTTCGTTATCTATAGTGATATAAATAGTGTGGATCAATCCCCTACTGTATCACAGAGTCGTGTTTATATGATTCGATTTTGCCGCCATATAAACTGAAAGTAAATAGAAGCAAAACTGGATCTGATTTGGGCTGCTGATGTACTACTATACATACCACCATACTGTGTAAGGTGCTCGACTGTCCCTAGGAGTTCTTCGATCCCGTCATCCCGATGGTTATTCCTGCATTCCGTATCCCCTTTCAAATACCGAATCTCGCCCCCATTTTGCTTTAAAACCCCGAATCCCAGGACCCTTTTGCTTAACATTAAGGGAACTAAGATTAGCTTTATATCTGACTAATCCAATTTGATTGGACTGATAATGAACTGAGGTTACCTAAAAAGTTCGTAATATAGGTTAGGGTAAAGATCTATACAGTTAAGGGCTATTTAAATTGAAGTCGCGCGTCTTAGTTGTCGACGCTTTCTTGCCCTGTAACCCAGCTGCCACTCACATGAGATTTGCCCGGTGAAAAGGCAGATGTGATAACCGGAAAGTTATATTCCTCCTTCTTTACCGGTTGAGTCCCTGCTGTGGTTACTAAAGTGAGGAATAAATGGCATTTGCTTTTATTCAGGTGCCATGTTTCCCTGGGAAAGTTCCTATACAGGCTTGGAGACCTCCCCAGGGGAAAGGTATGGAAAAGCCCAGATCCACATCACTGGTGATATTGCATTTGCTGCCAAGCAGTTCTGGAGATCTAGCAAGGATTTTAATTGGCTGCGGGAAATTGGATACCCTCTGGTCTTTCAAACCGCGGAGTACTGGGCCAGCAGAGTGGAGTACGACGTTGCGAACGATAGATACGTCATTAATGACGTAATGCCTCCAGATGAATATCATTACCCGGTGAATAATTCTGTGTACACAAATGTAGTGGCGAAAATGAATCTCCTCTTTGCCAAAGAAGTAGCTGGAATCTTAGGAAAGGAAGTTCCAAAAGAGTGGCTGAAAATTGCGGAAAAGTTAACAATTCCTTTTGACGGTAAAAACAATTACCACCCGGAATATGAAGGGTACACTTTAGACAAGGAAGTCAAACAGGCAGACGCTATTCTCATTGGTTATCCTCTCATGTATGAAATGGACAGGAAGGTGAGAGTTGTTCATCGGTTAAAAGGGTATCCTTTCCGCGCGTGACAAAGCCAGGCTGTTGCCAGGGCTCCTGGCCAGAGTTTTATGTCTTTTTTCTTTCTGGTCTTTCTGTTTTCAGTTGCACTGTGTTGTATAGTGGTGTATTTTTCTTTGTTTTCCATGAAATATAAGCTTTCTATGTGTGTGATTTTCCTCTTTCCTGTACTTGTGTTCTGTCATGATCGTTTCCTCTTGTTCTCGTTTTGAGTCAGGTACATGTCCCACATGACTGCTTCGGTCATCTGAACACTTGCGTCTTTCAAACTGTTAGGGCGACCTTAGAAGGAGTTTTTGACTACTTTTAAAATTGACGCTCTTAAATAAAATTGCCAAATGATTTTCTGTCCTGGCGAAAAGGTTTAGATAAAAAATAAGAAGAAATCGTCTTTCTACTGGGGCACATACCGGTGCGAACGTTTTTCGTTGCTTTTATTTCCGTACATCCTGTTAAAACAAGTAGGGAAAAAGTCAACCACTGAAGTTTTAACGTAGTAACTATAAAAGACACGTTCTTCATTCACATATAAGCTACTTTTCTACTGTTTTGGCAGGTCCGTTATAATGACTTGAATCTTTATGAAAATCGCACGGACCCTGATGGCCCTGCTATGACACATTCCATGTTTGCTATCGGATGGCTGGATTTAGGAGAGAAACAAAGAGCCAAGAAACCTTTTCTAAAGAATTACGCCAATATTCGCGGTCCATTTAAGGTAAGAACCCGATACTTCCCGTTTAATTTTTTCTATAGTGTTTATATTGCCTGTTGGTTTTGGTTCTGGTATTAAGTGTAGATATAATTCTTCCAATACGTTTTGTTTTTAAAATGAATTTTTATTTTCATGCAAACAAACTCATTTTCACAAGAAAGGTTTTGCAATTAGCTTCGTTTTGAAAGTGAGAGTTTTTGGAACTCGGAAATGGCAGGCCTATTGGAAATCCCACTCCCTACAACGCAGACCTCACACTCAGGGATTGATGTCTTTGACACTTGTTATTGTTATTACATGCTTGCGGGGTGATATTAACCTCAAAGCCCTCGGCACTGACACAAACACGTAAAACTTATAATCATAAGGAGGATTTTTGTTTGGGAAACTTTCTCTTTTTGAATGATGCCGAGTATAAGTTAGAACCAAGTCTTTTTGTTCCCTCGGTCAACCCTTAGGGGTGTGGCTAGAACGGGGACTCTTGTCTTGGAGAGAACCTGTCGAGCGGTGCCCATAACAAAAGAAGTAAAAAAAAAAACGTCTTTTGGAGCGTTAATCAGTTATTCTTGCTTTATTGAGATACTAAAACCGAAAACTGTTACAAGCAACAGAGACACTTAAAGTAAACTGTATGGTCCGAGATTTGCGTGTCCGGTGTAATCGAGAGAGAAACGTGAAATCAGATTTCAAGTTCACTTCAATGCTGCCTGGAAGTGTCGACTACTTTGTTTTAAACAGGTGTTGACAGAGCGCCGTGCATGTGATATATGGGGCAGCGTCATGTCTATCAACTGTTTCGAGTACTTGATCATTGACTGTTGTTTTTAACAGGTGTGGACAGAGCGCCGTGATGTATGGGGCGCCGTCAACTTTATCACAGGAGCTGGTGGTTTTCTGCAGGCTGTAATTTATGGCTACGGAGGTTTTAGACTGAAAGATTCTGAACTTTCCTTCAATCCTACTCTTCCACCGAACGTCAATAAAATGAGGATCAGGGTAAATTACCTGGGGAGTTTGATTGACTTTGCGATCAAAGACGAAAAGATCACGATCATGGTGGTTTCTAGTGGTCCCATAGCTCCAAGTCTAGAGGTTTCTACTTCTGAGGGGATATTCAGCCTCGAGCGTGGTAAAGCTGTCTCTATTTCCAGAGACCGAGGCGTACTGCGTATCGCGGATTCCAAATCCCATATCCGCAGCTGTGCGCCATGTGACCACTCTCGGCTTCACATTTGCCTGTTGTTGTTGCTTAGTTTCTTTTTATATCTTTATCAGTACGCGGCTATCAGTGACCAAGAAAACAAATCAGTGTTACTGTGAATGTATCCGTCTCTATATAAGAGGTCCGTGCCAGTGACTTTAACTTTTGATTATCAGTACCCCATGCAAACTCTACCTATACCTTTTTATGAGGCTGTTTTCACTGTTGTTTCATCATCATCATTATCATCATTTTCTTGAGACATTAAAACCAGTTTTCCGCGTATCCTCTTCATATTACCTGTTCTCATTGCTTCAGTATTTTCAAAGTTTTTCTTTTAAGTTTATACATGAAAATTAACTTTTCTCATTGTCTCATTTGTACACTGGGAGCAAGGTTTCCTGGGTAATGAAAGTGGAAAAACTATGGTAATTTTTCTGGATATAGCAGAACTTTTTTGGGAGCTACCCTCACCAGGTGAGTTCTATTTTGTGCGAATGAGATATAGCCTGAATTTCAGACGATTACTTCGAGTCATTTTTACTTCCTCAGCGAGTAACAAACGACTCCAAGCAATCGTCTGAAACTCAGGCTAAATGAGATAGTCAGCCAAGGCCACACCCATAACCTTTGGGGCAAGGTTTTGTTCACGGTGCGGTCGCTCCTATGGGTTTCCTTATATATATATATATATATACAGTGAAACCTGTATTAAGCGGACACCGTATTAAGAGGACACCCTCCATTAAGTGGACAGTAGCCGAAGTCCCCAAATTTATTTCCCTTATTTTCTTCAAATGAAACCTTTATTAAGCGGACACCTCTATTAAGCGGACGCGGACACCTAAAAAGTACCTGAATTGGTCATTTCTATTGTTGCCAACCTGTATTAAACGGACACTTGTAATTAAATTCCACCACCCAACATGCCAGACACCGGAAATGCGAAAGATTGCCTTGAATTGCCACCCACAAATTTTTCGATTTTTACATTAAAAAACGTGACTTCACGAACTTATTTGATTAGTTTCACAGTACAGGATTGTTTTCTATTTCGTTTTGTTTGTAAAGAGCTTGTTTCACTCATCTGATTTCTTCAAATTTGAGTTGCAATTCATGTTTATGGTACTATGATCAATTGGTTCACTTTGATAAAGAAATTAATGCAAACTTCTATCGTCAAAGTTTCTGGGAGTATTATAAACGCTTGTTCATTTGAATGGCATTTGACACCTCATATGACGTTATATATCGAAACCTGTATTAGGCGGACACCTTAATAGTACTCTTTTTCACGTGTAGCTCTGGCCTTGAGGAAGGCTAATTTTGTTTGGCGAATATTGGCCTAAAAAAGTCAGCCCTTTGCCGTATTGCCAGCCTTGCATTCGGTATTGTTTTAACGACTGCCGAGGCATAGCAACATTCCCATCGCCCCGCCACTTTCCCCTGGGACTTCCCCTCGTCGACTTTTTCCTCCCGCGCTGTTTCCTTGCGATTTTTAGCCCCCTTCCCCCATGGCCAAATGTAGAGCCTGTTCACTGGTTACGCTGAAAGCAACCCATGCTGTTCTGAGGAGTTTTATCCTAGATCTACGCTGAAAAAATGTTGAAAAACTCTTAGTGCCCTAAGCTTGGAAGTTTGTCCAAGGTATTAATTAACTGTTGATGCCAATGACTAATGTATCGTTCTTTGTCTTCATAAATTTGGTTTTGCTTTTTCGTATTTTTGCAGCCTTTTTCTACTTTAACTTCTTTCTGGGGCCGGAGTGTTGTGGCCCAAATTCCTAAAATAGATCTGTTAATCATTAGCGCTTATAGATTAGATAAATATAATAGCCTTTGCCACTGACGAGATGAGCCTTTCCTGTTCAGCGGGAAGGAAGGGCGACATAACTCTTTTGAGCTAACCTGTTGCGAATGTAACTTCTGTTTGGTGGTGAATCCATTCACCATGAGGGTCATTTGCGGCAGTGAAATCCTTGTTTTTATTTCATTTAGCCTTATATCTTTGGTGAAATCATCCTCTGCAGCTGGGACTCCCACTCGCTTCGTCACTGACAAACTACCGCGAGATTTCAGCAGAAGCTCGGTGCGACACAGCCGAAATGGTCAGTTCATGGCTTCAGTGGGTAATGGTTATTTGGGTACAGTGATATACAGTGATACTGTGCATATATCTGGGGTGTTTAATGGCCCGTCGTATCCGAAGAAATACCCCATTTATCCGGTATATTTTTACCAACACACACACCGGGCTCGCGTGCCGTCCACGGCATCTGTTAACTTCAAAGTCAGGGGAATCCCAGGGAACTCCTCGTACGCGCTGGACGTGAGCGAGGGAGTGTTCTACAAATGGTTCAAGGCCGTGAATTTAACAGTGGAAGAGCGAATATATGCGCACAGGACCAGAAAAAACCTTCTGGTTGTAGAGATCACGGCGAAGAATGATGCTGGGAGGAAATTTGCAATGGATATCATTCCAAATCTTGGACATGTAACTGATGATATTCATTTCTACATGAAAGACTCTTTCAGAGGCGACGCTCTCGCCGCCACTGGTTTGGTAAGTTACATTATATTTAAGTTTTGTATATCGAAAGGTCTAAAATGTTTTAACATCATCATACATTCCTGATATTCGTCTCGTGCACAATGGACAATAAAAAGCCTTGTACTTTTGTTTATTATTTCCGGTGACTTTTTGTGACATGGCAGTTCTCGGGTCGCGGGATCCCGTCATGTCAGAACGCACTAAATAGCCCGGGGAATTTGCTGTGCGCGAAAAATTGTCAGGGATCTTGATCCCGTTTTACTTTTTACATTATTTTTTATATTTTTTAGGGACGGGGAGAGTAGGACGTAAAGGGATGTTAAAAGTGGAGTAAAAAAGTCGGGTAAAAACAAACACAGGCCTTAAATAAAGATCGCTTCATCCGTTGATTCGACTTATCTCCTCATTCATTCATTCACTCACTCATTTATTCATTCATTCATTCATCCATGCAAGTTAAGGGTACTGAATCAAAATTTGGATTAATTTTTAAAATTAAAGAAAAGAAAAGAAAAGATAAAAAGTAAAGGTATGTTGCTCAACAAAGCCGGGAGTATATTTCGCGAGTAGAGCTACACACAAATATTTAACATAATAGCTTCGTTGGCTTGGAGAGATAACGATGAAAACTGTTTTTTAAAATCAAAATTTCATAGTCTTTTGCGGGAGCACAGCAAAACACGTCCGTGCGCATCAGCACCCACAGGATACCAGTAACTATTTGATCCGTATTTAGACTTTTCGGCATCAATTCGATTTTCTACGCGCCGCAAATGGCCCAGAAACGACTGACCCTCTGAAGGAGAGAAGAAAGTGGACGCGGAGAAAAAAAAAAGAAAAAAGAAAGAAAGAAAGAAGAAAAAAAATACTTCAGTTCTATTCTTTATCGCGACGCTGAACCGAATAGAATTTTTTTTTGTTATAAGTATCAACAACATAAAGCACAGTAATACAACATGGGAGCGGCCAGTACATAAGCACTAAGAAGATAATCTGAAACAAAATTGCAATGTGATCGCAGTCAATGAAGACGATGTAATTGTTACGAATAGATAACATTGGTTTTAAATATAATGGACCTTACAAAGAAGAGACTGACAAAAGTAGCAACGAGTGAAAAGGCACCAAGTGGTGTGGTATTTACAAGGAGTGGCCAATAATTCCAATAGCAATATATACCAAAAAAATGTAATCAACAACTAAACGAAATACATAACACCGCAGATAACATTCAAAGAACATAGGAACCTCGTTCCGAGGCCATTACTCGTTCCCGTGAGAGAACTTCGGGAAACGAGACTCAGAACTTGGCTTCGTCGTTATAGAACCATAAGCCGTCCGTCCTGGGGAAATACCATTTTTAGCGTGATAGGGCTTAAAGAAGATCGTGTATGCAAGCATTAACAAAAGAAACTGACTTGTGGTATAATGTTCGTGTTTTTCCCAGTGTTGTAATTGTAGGGATTCACACATAAGTCTGAAGTTGCTGGTTCACAATTCAGTGATGCGTAAAAGTAACATTTGGAATCTCCTCTCTCTTTCCTCCTCCAAAGGCTAGTTCACAGACTAACATTAATTTTCATGAGATAAGATGCTAGTTTTACTGGCCTCAGCTCAAGTCCTCGCAATATTTATGTTGGTTTTTTGAAACTGAATTGCTTTCTTGAACATTATGCTTTAATATTGGGTTTAATATTTCATAGATAAACCAAACGGAGGAGACAGGAAGCATTCGTCCAAATGTGGCCATTGTTTGGACCTACCCAGATCCCGATAACCCTCTGATAATCAAGAATAGCTCCGAGGAACAGACTTGGTATTACATCACTTCCATAGCAACCAACCTGGATACCAAGTTCAACCCGCTTACTGAAGCTCTTTTCCAGTTTGATGAGGCCACTCGGTACGTGCTATATAGTTTTTTCCTATTCCTGATGAACTAGAGCTGCGAGGGAGAAAGGTGATGAAGCCCAAGGAACAAATGAAGTTCGACGAAGAAATCTTTTCATTTTGTGACCAAAAAAAAATATTGAATGCCATTTTAATCTAATCCGAAATCCCGGATTTTTATTCCTTAAAGTTTAAAGCAGAAGCAGGGTAACAGAATATCCCAGCGTCCAAAGAGGGGGATACGGTGGGTGGGTAAAACCCTGAGAAAGATTTTGCATTGAAAATGACACAGGTCATGCTTTGGTTATTTCATAAATCTATTTTCTTACTAAAAATACATTCAGTGTCTCCTCTCTTTCAATCCAATCTAACTGAATTTAGTGAGTAAAAAAACAGAAATTAGAAATTTCATTTTATAGCTATAACAGGTGTTTTATCCATCTCTTGCACTGAATAGTTATGAGCATAAATTGTGCTCAATCCACTGTGCTCAATTATCGGAACAAAATATTTAGTAGTTTTTTTAGTGTGTCGCAGTGAACATTGAATAAAAAGCACAACAAACAAACCAACGAGTGCGCCCGACAATTCTGCATTCCATTCGATATTCAAAATGGTATTTGCAGCAAAACAAAGAAGACTCTAGCCTGAGATCATATGTTACATCTTGTGGCAAGAAGAATTGAAAATTGGCAAAATTGGTCAAGTAAATTCTTTTTTTTTTCAGGGCAAAGGAAAAATTACTGGCAGAACATAAGGCAGCTTGGAAAGCATTATGGGAGACTGGCCGCATAGAAATTGAAGGTGACTTGGAAATGGCACAGGCTGTGTATGGTAGTATGTACTACATTCTAAGCTCCACTCGGAGTGATTGGCCGTACGGGTTAAGTCCCGGAGGTCTACCGGGGGGAGAAGAATACATGGGACATACATTCTGGGACCAGGATATTTGGATGTATCCTCCTCTAGTCCTGTTACATCCGGACTTGGCCAGAAGTGCTTTGAAATATCGCAAGGACCGGCTACCAGCAGCGCGCAGAATTGCTAAGAAGTACGGCTTTAAAGGTAAAAAAAGACGCTATTCTTTTGAATGATCATGCGGTTAGCATCTCAGGCGCAGTAATAAATTCGGACAAGAATTTTGAATTTGCAAGTGACTAAAGTTTAAAATCCGTTTACCCCGTTACTCCTTGAACTGGAGTTTATATGGCTATCCTTGTCATTGAAAGAAGACTGAAGTTTCACAAGCATGAATTTTTTTTGAAGGAGACTCATTAGTTACAACAGGCATTCCTTGTTTTGAGAAAGAGAAATTTCTACCTCCTGGTAAGCTTGCGCATACGTCCTCCTTCATCTGGAACCTCAATCATTGAATAATATTCCATCGTTTCGATGGTATATATGATTGGAAACAAGGCTGCTTGAGCAATAGTGAACTAAAAAAATGGCGTTCACGACTATCCGACGATGAAATAGCTGAATATCTGACTAAAACTGAACGGAAGAAATGCAAATAATTATAAGCAAAACATATTGCTCGATGGGTTTTATCTTAAAACAAACCCGTCTGTTTATATCCTGAAGCGCGGTGCCGGGGAACAGGCCAAAATTTTGAATTACCGCAAGTGTACTTAGAGGTAAACTTTTTGAGAACTTAGAAATATGTTGAATGAGTGATAGAACAGTTACAGTGCGTCTACACGAACCGAGGCATCTGGAAGAAGATTATCCAATAACAAGGGTTTTTTTTGAAAACAAAAGATTCCCAAGTTTCTTTGCAAGCGGACCAATAAAATTCAAGGCTCAACTCTGCAAACCGGTGAAAATATTAAAACCGTTTGAACTTACTTGACCTCTCAAGAAGCAGCCCTAAAATTTATGCATGTTATTGCTCCGTTTGCGAAAAAAAAGTTGGAGAGTCTTCTGTTTTCAAAAAAGGTTGCGATTGGATAACCTTCTTCAGAGTTCCCCGGTTCGAGTAGTCGCACTGTATAAAATGCAACTACAATGATTTCGTGTCCACAGGTGCAATGTTCCCTTGGGAGAGCTCTTTCACCGGCCTGGAAACATCCCCGGGAGAAAAGTACGGCAAAAACCAGAATCACATCACAGGTGACGTCGCATTTGCAGCGAAGTTGTTTTGGGAAGCAACTAAGGACCTTCACTGGCTGAGGGCAGTTGGATATCCACTGGCATACCAAACCGCGGAGTACTGGGCCAGCAGAGTGGATTATGATGCAAAACAAGATAAATACGTCATCAATCACGTGATGCCTCCTGATGAATATCACTACCCAGTCAATAATTCTTTGTACACAAATGTGGTGGCTAAAATAAATCTCTTATTTGCTCAAGAAGCTGCAGATATTTTGGGAGAGGAAGTTCCAGAACTATGGTCAACAATAGCAGAGAAGATGTACATCCCATTTGATAGCAAGCGTAATTTCCATCCGGAATATGAAGGCTACATTCCAACAGTCATGGTTAAACAGGCAGATGTCGTGCTGGCCGGCTATCCACTGATGTATGAAATGCAAAAACAGGTGAATTTAATGATAATATGACGTACCACAACCGAGACAAAAGTGCCACACGTCGCTTTTAATATTGAAAGAGACTCGCGGTGACAGCGTTGAATGTAAGCTAAGGTAAAATGGTCCTGGTAGCTTGTCAGTGTTCCGCTTGTCTAACTTGTTTTTTTATAGCGTGCGAGCAAGCTCTCCGGGGCGCGCTGGAGGCGGGGCGCCCTAGCGCCCCGGAGAGCTTGCTCGCAGGCTAGTTTTGAAATACTTTGATACGTCTTCACTAATCCGGGCATTTTTAAAACCACATTTTTTTGCCTGGACTCGTGTGTAAGGGGCGTTAAACACTCTGGAGAGTCGTTTCAAAAAGATGCGGTTTCGGTGAGCGGATTAAAAATATGCGGTTTTTAAAAAAGATCCGAATTAGTCTGGACGTGGCCTTAGTTTCCAATGGTAATCTGAGTAACTTTACACTTTGTATCACCAGTCAAACCTTGATTTAGGGGTAACTCTTCGGGAATGACCAACCAACCCGCTTAAAACAGATTGACTGTTTTATACCGACTGAGCTTTTTATAATTCCAAGAGTTGATGAAGAAAATGTAGATAGTGACTAAGCAAAGTATCCATCACACGATAAATTGCCATCAGTGAAAGTGTTTCTACATCATCTTGTGCCAAAAATAAAGTAAAGACCAAGAATTGTCATGCACGTTGTGTTTCATCTTTAATCTGTTTTTACTTTGAGTATCTCAAGTCCACACTTCTTTGTATTATTTTCTGTTTTGTTCCTACTCAGGTTCGCCATAATGACTTGGATTATTACGAACGCCTGACAAATCCTAATGGTCCTGCCATGACTCACGCTATGTTTGCTATTGGTTGGTTAGAAGTTGGTGAAATAAAGAAAGCAGATCGCGCCTTTTTGAAGAATTACGATAACATCCAAGGTCCTTTTAANTTCCTACTCAGGTTCGCCATAATGACTTGGATTATTACGAACGCCTGACAAATCCTAATGGTCCTGCCATGACTCACGCTATGTTTGCTATTGGTTGGTTAGAAGTTGGTGAAATAAAGAAAGCAGATCGCTCCTTTTTGAAGAATTACGATAACATCCAAGGTCCTTTTAAGGTAGAAACTTTGTCCTGCTGGATTCCTTTCCGGCAGATAAAACTATAGTCAGCCACATATTTGCATTTTGTTTCAAACGAACAACTCAGTGTGGAGGAGTAAATGCGGCTCAAGAATACGATGAATATTTCACAGCAAGAGAATTCGTAAAAACAGAGAGTTCTTAAAACAAAGAATCGTTTCAATAATTGAGGTTGAAGATGACTTAATTTTTTACGGACGAAAACGATTATTAGTTTGAAGTTTCTAAAAAAATTTTTTCAGCCTTCTAAAATAGTGTTTTAATCTCTCGCGAATATGATTATGAGTTTCAATTAACTGTTTTAAAAGCAAATACAGATATTGCGTGCCTAAACACGTGATCGAGCAGTGTCTATCTTAGAACATCATTTACCTGAAACTGCCAAGCCTTCATAGAAAGAATGAAAAGAAGGTCTTTGAATGTTGATTAATATTTTGTCAAAACAAATAAATAGACACGAATGATTTTAATACATTACTACTTTGTATAAAAAATAAAAGTAGACGACTAAAAATCATTTTTGTCAAATCATAGGTTACCGCTGTAGTGCATCGAAAAAGTAACACAGCAAACACAACTACTGTCACTGACCACAGAAAAATATGAAATTCAGAACAAAAGAGCTCGAGAAATTTCGCGCGGTTTCTTTTCAGAAAACTCGGAACTAACAAGATCTTTAAAATATCATCTACCTTAAACACATTTGAGGGGGGCTTAATAGAGATAGGGGGCTTATTTAATTTAGCAAAGACGATGGGATCGATTCTTCATAAAGACCTAGAACAAAAAGTGGAAAAGCTCAAGTACAAGAAGTTGGAGCTCATGCAGCCGAAGATCAAAAACAACTGGCCGAACTTCCAGTTTGTGAATAAACCATCCAGGATCAGTCCACACGAAGTTTTACAGTCATGATTGATTGATACAGTCTATCATTTATCAGTGAAAACTGATAAGGGGAAGGAGAGTAGGGGCTTAAAAGGGAGAAGGGCTTATAAACTTTCCTCCCCTGAAAAAGAGGGGTGGGCTTATTAGAGAGGGGGACTTAATAGAGGATTTACGGTATGTTGTGTTTGTGGAAAGTATGCTTTATTTATAATTAGGTATGAGAATTCCATTGAGTAGTGTTGTCAGAGGCGCTTTCTCATATTCTATCGAGGGCGCGCTCAAATTATCGCCCTTAAAGTTTTGTGTTGCGAACACCTTTACCTTAGTATCAGGCGTTTCTCGGGGAAAAGTAGGAGAGAGAAGCGAAAAGGGTAGACATGGACAGCTTCTCCCTCCCCTCTAAAATCTCTTCTCCCCTTAACCCTTAAGGAAGGCCTCATTGTCAGGCTATGACACCTCTTGACTAACGTCAGCAACATTACGGTTTACTCGACAGGTCTGGTCAGAAAGACGATGGGGAAAGGGTGCCGTGAATTTCATCACAGGAGCTGGTGGTTTTCTTCAGGCGGTTGTATATGGATATGGTGGCATTCGCATAAAGAAGGACGGGCTATACTTCAATTCTACCCTCCCTCCCGGGGTAACTAAGCTCACCATTGGTATACACTATCTAGAAAGCGCAATTGACTTCCAAGTGACACTTGGCGGGGTGAGCTTCACTGTAGTCTCCAATGGACCAATATCCCCAGACCTGGAGGTGCTGGCAGACGAACGGGTATACCCGCTGAAGCGAGGCAAACTCGTCCGCATTATTGGAACAAAGTCTGGGATTGTGCGTAAACGCGTGAGTAGGAATAATACGTGATTATATGAAACTGGCCGCGTCTCGTCTGAATAGATGGGTGATGAAGGCACAATGACGTCTAGTCTGTTCCTGGAAACGGATTGGTTGGTCTGCGTAATAGGAGTGGTCCAAAAGCGCATAACTGAAGCGCAGTTCTTCAACTAAGGCGGGCGATCCCTCGGACTCGTTCCCGTTCCCGTTCCCGTTCATGAGTGTACAGTCGTTCTCGCAAGACGTCCATTCGGAGCACGTTTTTTGATCAGCTGGGGAGCTGTTAATACCTGGAGTCAAACGTTGTTTGACCACTATTTCACCATCGGATCTCCGAGTTCGATTAAATCCCAAAAATGGTTGTTTGACCATTGCACACGAGAAAAATTGGCACAAAAACATCGGACTGTCAAGTCTAACCGACTTCTCTGCAACTGGCTGTCGAAAGCATGTTAAAAACTCTCGTTTCGTAATGCCTCGCCTTGTAATTGGAAATTCTCGCGCCATTTTGCCACCAATAAACGAGAAGCAGCATTATATATGTTGCTCGTTACTTACTCCCGTTCCTCAAGGAGTATTGTTTGGGGCATTTCATTTAACGTGTGGATATCCTTATGAAAAACTACCAGAACTTTTATGGTCTCTGTTCCGAACACGGCAGTGTGCAGGTTTGAACATTTTTTTAAACGTTGGCTTATTTTTATGTCTTAACAGGTAGGGCTGAAATGAATTCAACCGAGCGCCTCAGTGATGGGATCTGGTACACAGAGTTGACTCCAGACCCCTGGGGCCCTTTCTTATTTTTGTAGTTTTTAGTGTTTGATTAAAACTTGTTATCAAGAGTTTTGATTGTTTGGCTCATATTACTATTTGGAGTGTTATCAATAGTAATTTAAACTAATTGAAATAAGCTAAATTTTAACTTTCAGGTATAAAGAAAACGTCTTTTTCGCAATTTGATGAAACGTGTAGAGGCAGAGTAAAAACAAGAACCTCAATCCTTTGACTGAATGTTTAAGTATTGTCAGAACGTAAGCTTCTGTAACAGAATTTTTTTTTAAAAAAAACTTGTTTTTCAGGGTGTGTTCACTCAGCAAGTTCGCTTGCAACTTGTCTTGTTGGGGTGGAACAAAATTGCGCGACATCTGGTACGAAACATTGATTAGGTTTTTTATTATAACTGTTTCAGCACGACCAGAGCCGCGACAAAAAAATGTACCACTGCGATTCTGGTTTATTAAATGGGACATTTTTGGTCAGCGTTGAGGATCGAGAGCTATCTCAATCCACGACGCCGACCAAAAGTATCAAAGCTCTGGTAACCTGAGATCAGGCCCAATTTTAGCAGTTCTCATACATTCTCTCTTACGCGCTCCTGCTAAAATTCTTTTCGTTTCGCCTTGCCCGTCGGAATGTTATTTACAAAGCGAAACGAAAATAGAGCCTGATCTCAGGATAAGCTCTGGGAACGATGCGCAAACAATAACTTTTTCACACAGTCAGAACATCCCATTCTTTTTCACGTGTCTCTCAGATCAAGCAGATATATTAAAAGTATATATTGAAGCTGAGAGAATTTTAATATATTTTTAGAGGTCGATAGAGGCCAAATAGGCCACAACGTGCTCAACCTTTTTTCGCAGCAGCTTCCCGCCAATTCCACTTTAGACATAATGAAGTTTCGAAGCAAGTTACGAAATGGTGAATTACAAGATTATGCTTTTTTGCAAATGTTCTAAGAAGAATATGGACTTTGAAAGCTCACGAGAGAATCAAACACCTCATAACCTTTTTATTAGTAGTTAGAAAAATGTATTTATTCCGGAATGACATTGTCCTTTAAACACCCGGCCCCAGCTCATCAAAAAAGGATAGCGCTATCCACCGGGTAAATCACTATCCAGTGGATAGTGCAATTGGTTTCTATATACTTATCCTCTGCATAGTGATTTATCCGACGGATAGCACTATGGCAGTTTTTAACAACTGGGGGCTGATGTAGCTTACATACAATACTATCTAGAGATAAAAATTCTAAGCAATCGTTCTCCAAAATTTTAAACAATTATTGGATGAGGTTTTTGTGATATCCGGAATAATCAAGGTCGAGGTCAGCGTTCAGGATCTGCCGAGCCGAAGGCCGAGGTTGATAGCACTTACCGAGACCTTGCCGGATTATTCCGGATATCACAAAAACCGAATCTAATAATTGTTTTATTATACATTTTTTTGAAATAACTAACGACAAATACACCGTCGCATGGAACCGATTTGACATTGCTCTTGGAAATCATGCGTGCGTTGCGCGCAACCTACAGATTAGTTGTTATCTGGTAGCAGAAAATCGGAGATAACTGACTAATCTGTAAGTTGCGCTGATTTCCAAAATTAACGACTGCAGTAGGATGTTAGCCAATGAGAAGGTACTAATTAGTGTATATGAGATCAGATATCCGTAACCACCGAAGCCTTCGCAAAGCTTCGCAAGTTGAGTCACAGTCAACTTGAAAGTGGTACCAGCTTTATTAATCCTCTTTCTAAGGGTTTGCAAATCCCCTTTTTAAAGTTTTCAAACTGATTTATTTTTTAAATTCAGACCATACTGTTGCTCATAACTTGCCTAACTTTTACAAAAAGTTTGAGGCAGTATCCATCAGATCTCGCGACATAATATGTTTCTAGTTGAGGTCAGTAATATTTTCACTTGTTACAACTGAAATCGTATAGAAAGGTTTGGAATACACTTATAGTCCAGCATAAAAGCATTCACTAGGTCCATAGAAGCATAGGTTTTCATGAATGTCCATATCGATCTATTTAGTGGTCCTCAGTTACTTCCTCGCTCATGTTATTCGCCTTGTGGCCCCCTCGATCTCCCTTCCGTTGGATAAATTGTTCGTTGGCCTTTTGGTTCAGTGCAGGTTTATTGGTGGTCGTTACTTATTGACCAAAGTAACTTCACTGCTCCTTTTAGCAACCGTTACTTCACTACTGGGCGAATTAAATTTAACAACTAGGCCGGGTTCCTTGGAGAAAACACCCTTCAATCCGTCAACAGAAACACTGTAACCTTGGTTGTTCTCTGTATCTTCAATTGGACGCAGTTCATTAGCCGGCTGATAGCCCGGGTCTGTGGGAACTAAAAGCAAAAATGCATTTGATAGACCTGTAGGATAACTCCAAGCTAATGGACTGATGTGTTGCCGAAAAGGCTGAGCTCCTGTATTTTGATCTATTGTAGTTACATAATTTAGCCACAATCGCCGAAGTATTCGTTGTTTTTCTTGAGCTATATAAAACTTTTGAAGACGTTGGAGCTGTCGTTCTCTTTCGGCTCTGACTGCATTTAGTTGATCCTGTTTGATCTCAGAGTTTTGCATTTTTTGATCGGACATTTCCCTTGGTCCTTGTTTCATCTTCTTCAACGATTGAGGCCGCTGCTCTACAGTATCGTCAGTCTCTTCGTCTTCTGTTTTTTTGTCTTCATCATCCTCCTGATCTTCGTCCTCATCATCTTCGTCTTCATCATCTTCCTTATCCTTGAACGTTGTTGTTTCTTCTTGGCTCTGTTTATTTTCAATCTGGTCTTCGACGAGGCTTCCCTTTTCATCTGCAACTTGTCCTTCATCATGAACAAGCATCATGTCATCTTTATCTGCACCGTGATAATGAATCTTTGTGACACGTATATGGGGAGCTAAGGCCGCAGAGTTGTCGCTCTCTTTACCCCCGTCAAAATCTGGATCATTCTCTCTTTTCCTGGACTCCTGAAACGAAGCTTCGTCTTGTATGGTATCTTTAGTCGATCCAACTTCTTCAGTGGCTTCCTCATCAAAATCCGTACTTGGTTTACCGGCTAAAGGAAGCCTCAACTTCTGTGGAACCTGAATGAGTGGCCCATATGAGGGTCTTTTAGCGACAAACTGCTGAAATTGTATCGGGTATTTCTTTTCTTTTGAACTGTTACTTCGGTGATGTTTTGTAATTGGCTTTTTCAGTTTGCTTTTCAACAGTGCATTTATCTTTACAAGCCGAAAGTATGCTACGTTTCTCGTTTTCTCGTCGTTTAAATTGTCTTTAGGGTGTTGTCTTGTAGAATCTCGTTTCGCGGCCTTCTCTTGGAACTTTCCCTTTCTGAGTGTTGCCAACACCCTTTCCTTCCACAATTTCTTCAGGTGATGATGTCCTGAAAAACATCGCAGCGCAATTAATTCATCTATTTTGACCAACATATGTATCTTTTCAGGCGCTTCGTTTTTCTCATAGAGGCGAGTGCGAAACGCGAGTTACACGCGAGTAATGGGTAACGAAGCACAAGGGACCATGGGAAGGAGAAAAATGAGAGGCGAGGCCCGTTTTCCCCTTCCGGCCTTCTTTTGCGCTCAAATTTTCAGCCCGAGAGAAACGTCTGGGTACGAGGCAGGTATAAAGTGATTAAGCCACGCTTGCGCGCTGTGCTTTGTTCTTGTGGGATGAGCCTCTCCGGGCAGGGGGATTTTGTCTCTGTTCCAAAAATGCTTTCAGACATGAGCTGATATCTGAGAAAGCATTGCCGACGACGTTTTGTCATGTGACCGGAAATTTACGAAATGGATTGCGGACCTGGCTTACTTAATGATAAATTTAAAGGGACAGTTTTATCAAGAGTACTTTGAAAGTTAAGAGATGCGTTGTAATTAGCCTGCGAATACCCTTCGTCGCTAGGGACGTTACGGCTGTAAACCTAGGCTACCTTTTAATCAGTGAATTTCATTAATATAGTAGTGACAGCTAATATAATAATTAAGAAAGAAGTTTAGAAGCAGTGACTTTTACTTACTTTAGAATGGTAGAAGGGAAAGTGGACTCAATAGGGAAAAAGACACTTTCAATTTTGATTTTGGTAACCGAGAAATATCTCTCCAAACAACATTAATTAGAGTATACTTACCTTGTACATGTCTGGAATGTTGGATTGACTTATTCTAAGATTTAGTTCGTGGCCATTTTTATAAATAAGCGAGTAATAAACTTTGTTCAGGGGACGTTTG